CCTATACACATACACACACTACACACTATACACACACTACACACTATACACACACTACTACCACACACTATCACACTACACACACACTACACACTTATACACACACACACAGACACTACCAACACTAAACACGTATACACATACAACTATACACACCACTTATAACACTATACACGACACACTACAACTAAACCACACATACTACACACTATACAACACACACACGACACACTAACACACTATATACGCTAACAACTACTACAAACACCACACCACTTACACACGCACTATACACATACAACACACTACTACACATACACACACTTACTACACACATAACACACACTACACACACGCACACACTACACACTAACACACACGACTACACACTATACACACACTTATACTACACACACACATACTACACGCACTATACACATACAACTACAACACTATTCACCACTTAACACGGCAAACTTACCCACAACTATACCGAACACACAGAACTTACACCAATACACACACACACACACTACACACTATACACACACACTACACACTATACACACATACTACACACTATAACAACTACACACACGCTACACACTACACACTCGCTACACACTACACACTCGCTACACACTACACACTCGCTACACACTACACACTCGCTACACACTACACACACGATACACACTACGCACACACTACAGACACACGCTACACACACACGCTACACACTACACACACTACATGCAACACACACACCACTACTATACACACACACTACATGCTATACACACACACTACATGCTATACACACACACTACATGCTACACACACACTATACACACACACTACATGCTATACACACACACTACATGCACACACTACATGCTAACACACACACTACATGCTATACACACACACATACATACATGCTATACCCACCACACACACACACACACTACACACACATACACATACACACACTAACACACACACACACACACACACACACACACACACACACACACACACACACACACACACACACACACACACACACACACACACACACACACACACACACACACACACACACACACACACCACACACACACACACACACACACACACACACACACACACACACACACACACACACACACACACACACACACACACACACACACACACACACACACACACACACACACACACACACACACACACACACACACACACACACACACACACACACACACACACACACACACACACACACACACACACACACACACACACACACACACACACTACACACACACACACACACACACACACACACACACTACACACACACACACACACACACACACACACACACACACACACACACACACACACACACACACACACACACACACACACACACACACACACACACACACACACACACACACACACACACACACACACACACACACACACACACACACACACACACACACACACACACACACACACACACACACACACACACACACACACACACACACACACACACACACACACACACATACTACACACACACACACACACACTACACACACACACACACACACACACACACATACACACACACCACACACACACACACACACACACACACACACACTACACACACACACATACACACACATACACACACACATACACACACACACACACACACACACACACACACACACACACACACACACACACACACACACACACACACACACACACACACACACACACAACACACCACACACACACACACACACACACACACACACACACACACACACACAACATCACACACACACACACACACACACACACACACACACACACACACACACACACACACACACACACACACACACACACACACACACACACACACACACACACACACACACACACACACACACACACACACACACACACACACACATACACACACACACACACACACACACACACACACAACACACACACACACACACACACACACACACACACACACACACACCACACACACACACACACACACACACACACACACACACACACACACACACACACACACACACACACACACACACACACACACCACACACACACACACACACACACCACACACACACACACACACACACACACACACACACACACACACACACACACCACACACACACACACACACACACACACACACACACACACACACACACAACACACACACACACACACACACACACACACACACACACACACACACACACACACACCACACACACACACACACACACACACACACACACACACACACACACACACACACACACACACCACACACATACACATACACACACAACACACACACACACACCACACACACACACACACACACAACACACACACACACACACACACACACACACACACACACACACACACACACACACACACACACACACACACACACACACACACACACACATTTAGGATTTTGAAAAAAATCTTTTAACAAAGGACATACAATAAAATTTGTTGGACAACAGTAATAGCAAATATGTGTGTATTTTTTCTGTCCGTTCTCGATATGTGATATAAGTGTGGTATGTTGATGATTGATACGTGTCACTCTTATATGTGTGAGGATTTTTATTGTTGAAATATTTGTGTTGTGATTTTTTTATTGAAATTGATGATTTGACAAGCCCAAAATGTATTATTTCATATTCTTAATACATTTTTCTCATCAGCCCCTGATTGAAGAATGTTTAGAGTAGCTAATAATACATCTTCTTTTGTGAAATTGTAAATTTTAGTAAATGTATATGAGTGAATTAATAGCATGTCTTGGTGTTCTTTTTTAGAATTTACACCATTTTATATTGGTATGTTTATTTTTGGTTTGTTTTCTCATTCTCACAATCTCATTTTTCTTTGTCTCATAAGCTTCCTTCCTTTTTCTTCATAACATATCTTTTCCTTCTTTTTGATACATAGAAAATATGAGATTTAAGATGCCATTTATTGTCTTAAGATTATGTTTTATGAATACGATTTTGCCAACTTTAATGCTTACCTGCAGGTCCCAAATGAATTCATTATAACTATGAGGAAGGGCAAGAAAGTGGATAACATGCGCTTCTCGTCAGAACATCGAACAGATATAATATCAGAAGCCTTGATATTCAGACACAGCTTTGCAGAGGGAATTGTAGATAACTTGGTAAGTGTCCTTGTGACTGGTCCTTTTTTTATATTCAACTGGTGCCATTTATGTCATGACTGTAAGTTCTGAAGTAAGCCTTTTATTCTTCTTTCTTTTTTTCTATTGTCTCTTGTTTTTTTAGGCTTAAAAATTTCCCAAATGAAATGAAATGGAACAGGGAGGACATAGACACTCAAACTTAACATTGTGACCCATTCATCTTTGTATTTAGTTTATCATCCTTTTATTCCCTGCAGCGAGCCAATGCCCAGAAGGTCCACTGGTCAGATGCGAGACATCCTGTCGTTCTGGAGGTCACTCCCTGCTCTGTTGAACAGCTTGATGCTACAACCGGTGCTCCTCTTGCATCCTATATGTTCAAGGATATAGAGGCCCTTGTACCAGTAACAGGCCTTCCTGGAGGGTTGTGCATTCAGGTTAGCATGAGAGTGATTTTTGCTGTAATGGTCCATACTAGACCCTTTGCATTTTATGGTTATCTACTTTTATGCACCAGTTAGATATATTTATATAGATATGCCACAGAAAATTTGTGATTAAGGGGAGAAAGAAAAAGGGAAAACAACGGGATGGTGGATGTTGAATAAAGGACAGAAAAATAAAACATCTGATATGAAGGCAAAGGCACTTAGTGTCCTTTGAGGCTTAATTGAAATCATTTTTTTTTTTTTCTTCTTCTTTTTCCTTTTTGCAGGTTCCCCTCTTACAGTTATATATTTGGCCTTTGTGCTTTAGTACTACTCATGTTTGAATATTTTGTTAAATTTCAGTGATTTACAATATCAATTCAATTACTTATTTTGGATACCAGTTTTCCTCACCAAGCAACCATGTTTGAGACTGAAGGTTTATGAAGAAAGCGTGAAGTTTTGCCAGCCCATTCACTACTCACCTGCAAGCCAAACTTCACATTGTAAATCATTACAAACCACTTATATTATACTTAGATCCAGTATAAAGCACAGCAGCATTGTGACAGGGGTGATAAGAGCAATACTACTAGTATAAAAGAAACATTACAAATGTAATAAGGGAAAAACTATAGCAGTGATAAGTAAAATGCTACAACATTGATAAGAGAAACGCTACATTATTGTTTTGCTGTTTCTTTTGAGTAGTTTGTTTGCTTGTTTTTACATTTCTTTCAAATTTCATGGGGCTACAATATGTTAGATGTTAATATTAAACTAAGTTAAATGGAGACTGAAAAACACTTGTCTCTAGCCATGGATAAGCAAAGCTACATCCCAGGTGTTAGCGAAATGGTGCACTAAATATTTTAAAGGGGACGTCACAATGAATTTTCAACAAATACTTTAACCCATTTATGATGGGTATCCCACATATGAGACACCCAGAAAAAAATATTGCCGGGCATCCCGCCGGTGTGACGCTGTATCAGGGCTCATGCTCTGATTCAGCAGCGGGCTGATTTTGTAGCTTTAAAATAGACTGGCGTTAGTGGGTTAAAAGAAACTCGAAAATTTGGGGGAAAAAAATCTTTGGCAATCCAGTGATGCAATATTTTTGGTAAATACATAAAAATAAAGGAGTTATGACTAAAAATGTGAGCCCCCGCCTCCAGCTCTAATTTGTTACTATTGAAAATGTTTCCCCCCCCCCCCAATATATTTCGATATTCTCTCTTAGTTCACTGGCAACTCTGCATCTGAATCAGCTGACAGCCACGAGAGAGACAGAGTGAGAGGCTGCACTGCCTCGGCGTGACACCATTCCAAGGTCACACCTCATCACACACTAAGAGGACACTGCTAATGATAGACGTTATTTGTGTAACTGATAAACATAATATGATGAGAAATACATCTCAATCACAGCTGCAGCAGTTGTTTATTCGTATGAAATGCCTCACAAGGTGATGACATGCAGTACTTCTACAATCATCTGCAGTTATTGCCATTAGTACCTTGCAAAATTGGGGGACCAGGCACCAGCTACACTTCAGAATACTATGTGAATGCCATGGAATGCATCAATATTGACGTAGAGATCAGATTAGAAAAAAAAGAAAAAAATATCGAAGAAGAAGAAAGAAAGAAGGAAAATGGAGGAAAAAGTATCCTCAACTTCAAAGCCTGAGATCTCAAAACTACACCTTTGTCCACATTTTTTTATGTCACTCTGTAACTATTTGGGGGATTCTAATGGGGTTTGGATCATTTGAAAGCTGAATAAATTTGCGATTTTCTTGATGATTTGATTTTCATTTCAAGTGATAAAAGTTCATATATCATCATTTATATTTTTAACAATGATTTTATTTTTCTAGACTAAATTAAGAGGAAATTTCAAAATCGAATCATGTTAAGTATAGGTATTGCTATAGAATATGTGGTATAATTTTTATCAAGTTTGGTCAATGGATAAGTGAGATTTATCGTTTTTAAAGATTTTCCTTTTTTTTTAATAACTTCATTGTTTATTATCCAAATGATATGGAACTCGGTGGTGTAAATTGTAGTATATGTATCTGTAACATATTAAAAATTTTTGAAAATATGATCATAATTAACAAACTTCATTCTCGGCCCCCTTAAGGTTATTGAAAATAGCTGTTCATATGGTTTTGGTAAGGGTGTTGTGCATGTATGCATGCATGTGTGTGTGTGTGGGGGGGGGGGGATTTTAAGTTACCAGGGGTCGTTGTTACTGGACATGTATGATAGTGGATCTGACTGATCTTTGGTGAACTCTAGTTGATCATGGATAAAATGACCATTATTTAAGCACATGCTACACTATTAAGTTTTTTTATTACCCACCAACCTCCTTGTTCAACTGATAGTATGTTGTCTCCCTGGAATTCATGTAAATGGAACTAAATAGCAGACCAGCTACAAGCAAAGAGGAGGAGTGGCTGTTTTTTCTCATCTCTCTTTGGACAGCAATAATTCTGATAACAGACAGAGGAGGATGGTCTTATGGACCAGAAAGGTAGAATTGAAATATAATTAAACATAGAATTAAAATGCGTGAAACACAATAGACTATTTAATTCTCCCACTCCCACTGTGAGTCATGACGTGTATACACGTCATTGGATGTTATGTCATGATGGCTATAGCAATAACCGTTACTTAGAAGTTCATCTACTACCATCAACTATGATCGTGATGTATGTTTTCATAATTATTATTAAACAGTGAATAAGTAAATGCTAGTCAGTCTATGTATGCACATGGGCAAAATGGTAGATATTGAAGCTCTTAGATAAAAAAGTTTCTGGTATGATTTGGGTACACAGTGGTGGGGTTTGTGGCTTGATGATAGCAGAGTTTTAGTGGTTATAGGGCCTGGCAGAATTAGGTTATTGTAATAGCCACTTTAGTTGTAAATATGTTACCTGCCTCCTCTCACCCAAATATCTTGTGCTGCTTTGGCAGGGGATCTCTGGGAAGGACTCCACAAGAGGGGTGAGATTATGATATTGTCCTGCATGGTTAATGTGTTAAAAAAGAACCAGACACTTTATAACTTAGAACTAGTTGTTTTTGGAAGCTGTCATATGTAGTAATCAGAGTGGATGTTCAATCTGATGTTTTCCATAGCACAATATAGATTATTTCTTCCTAAAAGAGTAAAGGGAATGTATGTTATAAATTAGCAATTCTATTTTCCAGGTTATTAGCTTTCATAACATCAGTACAACAAGCACCAGGTTATTAGTTTTCATAACATCAGTACAACAAGCACTCATACATGCAGCTTACAAATAATGATCTTTGTTTTTGCCAAACTATGATTTCCACCCTGCCATTTGCATAAAACACATTTTTCTTTCTCTTTTTCCACCACCACTTGATTCCTGAAATGGTTCATATTATAATGCATTGAAGACTTTTTCGGATCATATTTAAAAGCTTATAAACCTATTCCAATCATATTTACATAATTTGCAAGCTATTTTTCAATTACAAGAGGAAGGAAATTTTTGAAGAATGGTGTGGAGTTTATAGAGATCTGGTATGAAATCCTATTCAGAAAATCATTTGACATACAATGCATAAGGCATTCAGACACCAGGAAAGACAAAATGCATTCATGCCATATAGTATATATCCATGACAAGATGTACAGGGCCTATATGCTGGGTAACAAGTATCTATTCCATATATAGTAATACCTGCTCTGTGATGTGAGATATAGATATTTATTAATGGGTTTGTCCATGACTTCAGTGTCTGAGATGAGGCTGAAAGCTTACAAGGATGTGGGCTATTTACCATTTACATCCTGGCTTAATCCTCACACTACCAAAGTAGGCTTATATTCACTCTTTAGCCCTTTTTTATTGAAGGGTCATGTATGTCATAGCTAATACTGTATATAGACAGGGAGACACATTTCCCAAGCTGCTCATTTTTCAATTGAACATGTGACTGCTCATAGCACTCAGTGTAGATCAGTGTGGCATGGGTAAAAGCCACAGTAATAAGGCTAAGAGAAAAATCCACCCATGTGTTGCCTCAAGTTCCAGTCATTCACATATCACCCTCTAGAAAGATAAAACTGCAAATGGCCCTGCAGAACTCATGTCAGAGATTGAAAATTCACTCATGAGACCTCTCAGACAGAAAAAGTACCTATGCCAGCATTTACACCAAGGGAACAGACAGTTGTACAATAGAGAGCTATAACCAAGAAAGATACATGGACACTAGCAAGTTATATTCAGAATCTGGTAATATAAATACACAGTAGATATGCTTTTCAGTAAATAGATGTTATAACAATGATACTGGCAGTTCATTGTGGAATAACATATGGAAATGATAAGATGACATAGATAGAGAAAACAACTTGGAGTCATTTGTGTAGAAAAAGACTGTGTTCTACCCTGACAAGTGATAAAGGAAGTAAGAACAAGGTAGTGGATCCAGAGCTTATTTATCAGGAGTTAAACCAAAAGGCAAAATAGAGGAGGTTGGAGATTGCTACCAGATGGCATTGGCATATGGTGATGTGAGTCACCAACTCACTTCATTCATGTGCCAAAAAGTTAAGTTAAGTTCTTGCCCCAAGTCTGGGCATCAAGATAGACTTGACACTTTGTGTTACTTCAGGTGTACAAACCAGTGCCATGCAATGCATCCTCATGCTTCACTCATCCAAAATATCGGCTTCCCATTTTATGCTGAGACAAAGGATGTATGGTTTGATAGTATTTAGATATGGTCCTAGAAAAGAAAAGAAAAAGGCTTCATAAAATATGTATATTTGTAATTCCAGCTACATGGCTTACATACATTGATATTTTCCATCTTTATTGGTTGTACATTTAATCCAACATAGTAATAGTAAGTAATTTTTTTGCAGTGTGGAGGATTTGGTAGGTTACACATCTTCTCAACAGACCGTCGAGATGAAATTCTAAAGAAAGTTGAAGATAATGCAAAGAAATATATTGGTATTAGTATAAATGCCAAGAAAGTGTGTATCACTTTACAGCAGGCACAAGAGCTCAGAGTTGGTAAATACAGGTAAGAATCATTATTGTGATGCAACTCCAAAGAAATTTCATAAATGGTAGTATTCACTATAAACTCAGTGCAATGGTTTAAAAGAAAGTGGGATAAAGAGTTCCTAAGCCTATTGTATCCGATTTTGAATAATTCTTTTTAAACATGTGCTGGAATGATTCATAATCTGCCACTTGTAATTTTAATCATTATTTCTATAACTATTATTTGTATTGTCACTATTTCAAATTTCATTAATGCACTTTCTTTTTCTAGTGGGGACGAACACATCACATCTCTCTGTGAATTCACAGTCCATAAAGTGAGCCGCCGTCACAATGACCCAGTAAGAAGAACGCTTTGTATTAGTGAATCCTGTTTGTTAGAACGTGACCCTAATTCCTATGCCATTGTCACCCTGAAACCACTATCGGATATATTTGCTCTAGTCCGCCACCAAGAAAATCCACAAATGCTCACAATAGAATATGTAAGAGGAGGCAACAGGGTTTATACATCATCTGACCGGTAAGTCTGATCAGGATCTGGATTTCTAATGTTTACATATGATCTTCCACATAAGAAGTTTGGTTATACAATGCTTAAAATAACCCAGGTTTGACCTCAGACCAAATAAAAATACAGCAGCATATTCTATCATATGTATATAAATCTTTAGAGTAACAACTTACATTTCACCTAAATTTCATCAACAGTGATGCCTTATTAGCGTCACTGATTGACGGTGTCAGAGCCTCTGGCAACCTAGATGTTCATGTCCGAATGACACCAACTCCAAGAGGGAAGAGGCTTGGTCCTCTCGAAGTTCCTGTAGATGAGGAAGTAGAATCCATGCACCTCAAGTTTATTCAGCAGCCTCCTCCTGGTTGGACTTTTGCTGAAGCAGTAGAAAGATTTAATGTAAATGTTTCTTATTCTGGGCTGCTACATGCTGTAACTGCTGAGGTATGTATTTTTGTATCAATTTAGTTTGCTTATGTCAGACTGTCAAACTGTTTGTCTTCTTACATTTTTAAATTTTGTTATGATTAATTGTTAAATGCAATTTCAGTTTCTACAGGATATTTGCTACTGAAACTTTTATGAAATTCTTTTTACATGGAAATCTGACTTAATATGACAATCTGCAGAGCATATATTTAGTTTTGTTATTGATAACTGTAACTTCCATCTTTACAAACAGGGTTTATTCGCTGAAAATAAAGAAAAATTAATAACTGGTGCCTTAGGGGCACTAGTGCTCCGAGAAGGAGATCAAGCAACATTACCAGCTGAAGAAGTTGAGGCTCAGTTCCATGCCCTGCGAAGATTAGTTGCATCGAAAGCAGGTTTTGCTTCTCTAACATCACTCCCTAGGTGAGAGATACAAAATTTGTTTATTGTTCATCTAATTATGATTTACGGTTTCAGGAAGTGTTTCATTATTTTGGGAAATTTTCTTTTTTGTCCAATCCTCCTTCATAGATCAACTTTTAGAATTACACTCAGACCTCAATTCACCTACATTTGATGAATATCAGAAGTACCGGGAAATATCTACTTTGTGGATGGAGTTTTGACAACATTGGAGAGGAGCTATTGCTTCGTGAGCAGCTTGTGTCAAATTGGATGATGTGCTTGATCAAAAGTACAGTACTGTATTATTGTTTTTCTATTTTCTTTTTTTCTTTTTGTAATGTAATTTTTGATATTAGCCATACTCTCAGTAACTGTGGTCAATTGGCAATATCCGAACATTGCCCCCTCTCAGAATGACATCATGCCCCAAAAGCAATACACACTGTGATGGCATTGACAACAAATGTTCCCAGGAAGTTATAGAAAATCTTCAGATGACTTAACTAGCTTGTTACCCTTTATCCTTACATTGCAATCCAACTTTAACTAGGTCTTGATTTGCACAAGCCCATGTTGGTTGGCTGGATGGGAATCCTTCTTGCTGTGTGGATGGTAAACAATGTATAAATGTTAGGAAAAGGAAACATGAATAGCTACACACACAAACACACACACTATATATATATATATATATATATATATATATATATATATATATATATATATATATATATATATATATATATATATATATATATATATATATATATATATATATACATATATACATATATACATATATATATATATATATATATAATATATATACATATATATACATATATTATATATATATATATATATACATATATATATATATATATATATATATACATATATATACATATATATACATATATATATATATATATATATATATATATATATATATATATACATATATATACATATATATACATATATATAATATATATATATATATATATATATATATATATATATATATACATATACATATACATATATATATATATATATATATATATATATATATATATATATATATATATATATATATATATATATATATATATATATATATATATATATATATATATATATATATATATATATATATATATATATATATATATATATATATATATATTATATATATATATATATATGGTGTGTGTGTGTGTGTGTGTGTGTGTGTGTGTGTGTGTGTGTGTGTGTTGTGTGCGTGTGCGTGTGTGTGTGTGTGCGTATATATATATATATATATATATATATATATATATATATATATATATATATATATATATATATATATATATAGCTATTTAAATTTATATCTGTCACTTGTTATTTAACAATTACTCTCTTCAAGGTTCCGAGAAAAAGTGGGCTGGAAAGTAGTGAAGGCACTGCAGAGAAATAATGATGGAATTAATCATGCAGCACTTGACATGTTGTGTGCACTCATGCAGCCCATGCATGACAATCCTGATCTGAAGCATTGAATTGGCAAAGCTTCTCTCCTAGCTTCACCAACATTTCAAGAGAAACTATTGGAAAATTGGGTCCATCATGTGGTAAGACGTATTAAATTCTCTTTAAATTTGCCTTTGTCCATACTAGTGTATAGACTTAGGCTTTGTTTATATTTTTATATAATGATTAGTAAAAGTGATTTTAACCATTCAGAAGGAATCAGGTATAGTAATTATTGTGTTGTGAATCCCCAGAAATGCCTTGTTTTACTGCTACTTCAAAGTAATCCTGTGTATATGTTTTGGTTGTAACTAAGTAGCCTTTACAATAAGATAAAAGGAGAAAATGAAGTGATTCTAACATTAACTTTTTTCTTTTTCAGTCCCATGGAACTGGTGCACTTGTTGTTTTGGCGATGTTGGACTTTTTAACTTTTGCTCTCTGCGCCCCATATAGTGAGACAACTGACGGCGCCCACTTTGATCGTTTGTTAGAAATGGTGGCAGATAATGGGAGGTCACTCTACAGGCTCTTCCAGCATCCATCTCTAGCCATTGTGAAAGTAAGCTTCTTTTGTGCTTCATTTCTTTGTGAGTGTGTGTATCTGTCTGTCTGTGTATGTGTGTGTGTGTGATATTGTTATTAAAAAAAAAAAAAAAAAAAAAAAAGATTATCCTTTACAGAATGTAAATAAAAATTCAAAAATATTATTTTACCAAAACTAGGGTGCAGGATTGGTAATGAAGGCTGTTATAGAAGAAGGTGAAGGTGACATTCCAGCTCGTATGCAACTCTTAGCATTAACAGAAGGAGCTCTGCCTAGACATCTGTACACTGCACTCTTCACTCAGACATCAGACGGCAGACTCCTCACTCATCGTCAGCTTTCACGCCACCTTGTTTCTTTGTGGGCAGCAGAAAACCCATCTGCAGTTGATCTTTTAGGACGAACAGTGGTAAGAGGAGAACTTGTACTTGTCTTTTATTCTGCATTTGTTCAAATTTTATAATGGGTACAAAATAATATCAAGTTAGGTTTTGGCTATTTGTATATTTATGCGTACTTTGGAGAGGTAATGGATTGAAATGTATTAAATGAAATATTAGACTAAAGGAAAGCTCAAGAAGGTTCAGAACAAGTTTTGACGTTCCTTTAAGAATTGAAGGAAGTAGCAAAAATGGGGAAATTTTTCTTATGAATTTAAGGGTACTAGTTGTATAATTGGATTGTTTGGAAAATTTTTGTTTTATAAAAAAGCGATTATCTTGTAAATCAAGTGTGAAAACAAGAGAAGTCAATGGCTCTCTTTGTTCAGCCACCAGGTCTTTTAGCCTTCTTGGAGAGCAAGGAAACTGTGCCATTAGACGACATTGATCGTTTGAACACAAGGGATAACCTGAAGATTGCAGAAGATGATGAGGAAAGAAATAAGAAAAACCAGGTTTTAGAAACTTTGGACAGAGCGTATAAGACCTCTGTCAAAAAAGTAGAAAGTTTGGTGGAAAAGCACATGGATGTAAGTAAATTGTTTTTGTATGTAGAATTTTATTGTTGTTATTGTTTGTTTTTCTGATTGTCCCTTTCTGAAATGAAGAATGCATCTTTGGTGTCGACAGTAGTAGAATTACTTGTAGTGTTTATCTTCCAGATATATTGTTCAGCTCTGTATCTTTATTATATGTGGTTTATAAACAAAACAAAAAAGTTGATTAGTTTTAACTATTTATGTTTTTATTATAAATGATTAGTTGATTAGAGAATGATTGTCATTTTCTGAGTATTATAGAAATAGGTTAAATCTAATGGACAATCAATAATTTTTTTGATTTATAAACTATTTGATATATGTTTTGTGATTTTTATGTTATTAGATAAATGTAAATATGTAAAAAAAAAAAATATCTATGTCTATCTTCTTCTATTTCTCCTCCCCCTCTCCTCCCTTCTCTCCCACTCTCCCCTCTCACCCTGGTCTCCCTTTTTCTCCTCTCTCTCTCTCCTTTCCTCTCCCTCTCTCCCCCTCCCTCTCTCCCCTTTCTCCCTCCCCCCTCTCTCTCCCCTTTCTCCCTCTCTCCCCTCTCCCCCTCTCTCTCCTCTCCCTTCCTCCCTCTCTCTCCCTCCCTTCCTCCCTCTCTTCCTCCTCTTTCTTCTCCCTCCTCCCTCTTTCCTTCCTCCTCTCTTTCTTCCTCCCTCTTTCTTCCTCCCTTCTTCTCTCTCTCTCTCTCTCTCTCTCTCTCTCTCTCTCTCTCTCTCTTTCTCTCTCTCTCTCTCTCTCTCTCTCTCTCTCTCTCTCTCTCTCTCTCTCTCTCTCTCTCTCTCTCTCTCTCTCTCTCTCTCTCTCTCTCTCTCTCTCTCTCTCTCTCTCTCTCTCTCTCTCTCTCTCTCTCTCTCTCTCTCTCTCTCTCTCTCTCTCTCTCTCTCTCTCTCTCTCCTCTCTCTCTCTTCTCTCTCTCTCTCTCTCTCTTCTCTCTCTCTCTCTCTCTCTCTCTCTCTCTCTCTCTCTCTCTCTCATATATATCAAAGTTGTCCTCTTGCATCTGCCCAAGCTAGCCAATCCTTGGCAGTCATTGAAAAATACTCAGACTGGCCCATCAACCCACATGGCTTAGTCTTTCCATCTATTGATGCTGAGCATACACATAATGAATGATTCACCAGCCTCTCACACACCATTACCAAGCTGCCTGCAAGCTTGGTCAATCCTTGACCTCTTTTGCCTGCCCATGAGTCTGCTTGGGTGCTAGGGGCTCTGACTGTGCCCCATCTTTACACATCTTTACCACTTCCTTTATGAGTGACCAGTACCCAATTCCAGACTATATACCTCCACTCTATTTGAGGTGACTGTTAACAGTGTTAGTGGATCACGTTATCTTAACAACCTGTGTAACATCACTACCAACCCACTTGTTACATTTGGGTGGCCAAAGTCCCTACAGCACCTAGGCAAACTCACAGGCTGCCAAGATAGGTCAGGGATTGATCTGGCTTGCAAGAGGCTGAGTGGAGTGTTTGATAGAGGTAGTCATGTAGGTCATCCCCTATATGGATGCTCACTGCCAAAAAATGGAGCTAATGAAAAATATCAGTCATGTGACCAACCAGCAGCATGGGTTTGAATCACATGGTCTGATCATCATTGCATACCATATAAGGCTTGTTTAACCCATTGGATCTGAGTGCTTCACTGCCATTACATGACCCAAAATATGGACTTTAGGCTTACTTGATCAGTTATATGCCTTGTAGGCCAGGCACACACAAACACTTGTGTGCGGTGACAAGACTAGATGACCCATCTTCAATGTTATTTTCTCCTTTTCAGCATAAGCATTTTTAGCTTTTTACATGACATGATAGTCACATCATCTGGATCATAGGGGTTCATATTGCAAGATGCAAGAGGACAGCTAGGTCATACTCTTAGTTTTTGCCTCTTCCTCCCACTCTCGGTCATCCCACTCTTAGTCATCCCACTCTCACTCCAACTTTCATTATATATAAGCATAATTTATCTATCTAAATTAATGGTAAGTCATGTATACCTTGCATCTCTTTCTGTGTCTTGTAAAAAGAATTAAATGTCATATGTTCTCCCAGTTTGTACATGGAAACTTTTATGTTAGTGAATGTCCACTTTGATATATTTTGTCACCTGAGTGTGCTTAAAGGAATGTTTCTCTTTGTTTGAAGTTAACTATGATTTAGTGCTTCTTGTATTTTGTTTTACATGCAATGTCTGTTTTCTCCTAAAACACACCAACCACATTTCTTCCACATCATTTGACGAAGCAGAAGATAGAGACGGTGGAAAAATGTTTACAAACAGGAGCAAAACAAATGGAGGCTTACTACGAAGCGTACCTCGAGAAACATGTAGATGTAAGTACATGTAATTGTTAGGTGATGGGGTTTGCAAGCTAATAGTGTAGCTGTCGTGGATAGTGGCCAACTTGTGTTTTACCCTTGTTTCTATTTCTTTTTTCTCCTTTTTTCTGAAGGATTAGAGATTCCTTTCTCTTTTTTCTTTTTCCTTATTTTTTTGAATTTGAATAACAATTGGTTCCAATGAATCATTATTTTTAAGTAATACTTGGACCTCCTTTTAATGGGTTAGGACTTTCAAGCCCTCAAATTGTAAAGCAGGATTTAGTAGCATTCATGTGAAGTTGTAGTGGGAAGGTTATCTGTCTACTGTTTTTCTTACTTTTCTTTCTTTTTTCACAATGCTGATATTTTTTTGCTAATATTTATCTTTTCTAATTAAAGGATATGCCATATACAGAGAATAGCATTTGTAGAGAAATTGATTATATTATGGACAAAGATTTTTTTTTTCTTTTTAAGTACATCTTTATTTTCACTTTATTTTCTTGTTGCTTCATCAGGAATGGGTGAGTTTCTTTCTTAGTTTAATGTATCACAGATAGAACATCAATGGGTAAAACATACAATCATTCCTTAGAAACTGTTTCTTTATCTTGCCAGAAGCTTTGTATTTTACAAGAATATTTAAAATTTTTCATGTAGTTTATCACCTTTTATACTTGCTTCTGCAGTATCTAGATAAAGAAAGTAAAGTTCTCTTTTGCATGCTGATACCTCGATAATTACAACTATATTGGTAAAATCAATACCAGCTGCAGTGGTAACAATTATTAAGAAAAAATAAAATTTTGTAGTCATCAAATGTTATATTATCAAAAAAGGGTGATCTATCAGTATATGCATGTTCTCTTGTATCTTTATTGACGGGCATGCTTATAGCCGTCATAACATAGTAACGTATGACGTGTTTGCACGTCATGACTCACTCCAGTGAGCAAGCAGGTGGCCCAGCTAGAAAGAATTGACTGTTGCTTAATAATTATGTCACAGAAAATTCTGGCCCTGTCATGGTAGGGTTTATACATTTTAGGGGGATTAGCTTTAGTCCCAGCAGGTTAGCTGAAAGGAATTAAATGTAGTCAGCATTAGTAGGATTTTCTGATGCCAGGCATATCAGCACCATATCTTTTAGGAATAGGATTGAATATTTCATTTGTGATGATTTTGTGTTTTGAGGTGTGTAGATGTTGGTTTAGCATAATCATTTGTTGTTATTACATGATAAATACTTGTTAGATATTAGTATACATTAGCATAATAGGGGAAAAAAACACCCATTACCTCAAGGTTTGGGCTGAAAATGTTTTTACTTTGTAAGGAGTATATTGCTGGCATTTTACTAATGGCAGAATTAAAAGCAAATTTGGCATTACTGCTATGGTATTGTTCAGAATACTTAACCTATTGGATCCGGTTGCTTCATAGGAATTACATGACCTAAAATACAGACATTAAGCTTACGTGAGCAACCACTCTGATGGGTACACTCTGATGGGTAGGCTGGGCACACACGAATGCTCATGTGCAGTGACAAGACTCTGTGCCTCCCCTTTGCAATGTTGTTTATATACATAAGCATTTTTAGCTTTTTTGCCATTTTCCAACGTCGATATTTGCCATTTGATTTGCTTTATCCAGATGGTAATAGACTGATTTCCTTGCACAGACTCCATATTATCTCTCTAGGTAGTCCATAACTCCATGCAACAATCTTAATGTGTAAAGTTTTATTATTTGTGTCTTTTTGTAATATTAAATTTTCTGTACTACAACCTGCAGCCAAGAATAGGATGCTGAGCATGGAAATGGCATCCTCCTTGGAGTCAGCACTCTTCAAGTCATGGCTCATGGATACTACAATCCACATTCATTTATTGATGGAAATAATACAAAAGCCCTTTTTTAAACACCAAATGAGTCGAATCACTCTTCAAGACTTTGTGCACTCGTGGCAAGTCTTGCTTGTGACCCCAGCCTTCAGCCATAATGCTCACAACTGCAAGTTCGCATGATCCCAGCCCACAGCCAGATTTTCCCATAAGTGTATGTTCACATCATCCACCCCTCAATCCTAATTTTTTTCATGATGTCATGGTCACATCATCCAGATCATAGGGGTTAATGTATTCATATATTTTACAATTTGCACATAGCCCAAAATGTGTTTCTTGAAGTAGAACATATCTATGTTTATATATATTTCTGAACAACATTATTTGAAATACAAACTAGGCATTTAGTATATGTAAAGTTTAATATTAGCTACCATGGTACTCTTTTGTATCCCAAATATTTCTCTTCTGCCTCATTAGGATCGGGTGAGTTTTCTAAGCAATTTTTGTGACTGAAGAGAAGATCGAATAGTTTGATTTACAGACTTCTCTAGTGCATCTTGGTAGATTTCAGAGAACACAGGGAAACATTTGCCAGTCATTGTTTTCAGACAGACTTGTGGTGGATGATAGTCTTTTGTTACTTCAGGCATGCTTTCAAATGGACATTGCTATTTTTAATGTCACAAGGAGACTTCAGTTGTGTTGTGTCTCCAATATGAACTAAAGAATGTGATTGATATAGCAGATTGATGTGTACTTTTGTTGAGGTATCTTAACTTCTTTCTAAGGAAAATCCAGTTCAGCTGGGGAAATTATTTTTATCTATGTTCATGTTCCTATAAAAAAAGGATTATCAATGGTCATATCACCAGGAGAGAAGACAGCTAGTAATAAGTTTTTGAAGGATATGTGAAAGAAAAGTAGTACTGTGTCCACGGAGCATATCCCATTATTTATCATAATCATTAATTACAGAGTAATTTTTCATTTATTGTTGATGTTTTTTTATGAATATTTTTTTTTCTTCATGTTGAGACATAATCCAAATACAGTAGATGAAAGAAAAAAAATAGAATAATCACACTTATAGGTCAGCACAAAGTATTTGTCTGTAACAGCTGAAGGCATAGATAGTAACCTGTAAATGCATTACTATATTTATTTTGAGATTTGCAATTAAAGTTCTATAGTATAAAGTTAGATTTATGATATTTTTCTATTAGAATTACCTTGAAGCAAGAATTTTATCACATTTTAGTGGTTTTATTTTGTGGTATCATGAATTTATCTTGTATGTAGGTAATTATATGTTTCTCCTTTTCTTTTTACTATATGTGAATCATAAATTTCTCTGATTGGTGTGTTACGGGCTTGATATTAACTTCTTTTAAATATTCATGTTTATTATTCATAGTTAATTTTTTCTCCTATCAATGTTAACTTTATGCTGATGAAGAGTATAGGTTCAAATTTTCATCATTAAATTTTCAATAATTAGTTAGCCAAGTGGTTTCAGTCAGATATTTGGTTATTGAGAAAACTTTCTAACATTGTATCACATGTAAAGCATTATGGAATTCTTTTTGATTATATATTTCATATATAGATTTTTGTTAATATTCAAAGACATGCACTAGAAATTGTGTTGTAAGATGAGTTTCAAAAACAAATATATGACATAGTAGATGAACAAAGGACAGAAAAGATGTGCATGTTACAATTATATTGTAGGTCTGTAAGAATGACTAGAATATTGTTGAGTTGACTTCAGAAAGTCGTATCAGCAGCATGTTATTTGTCTGGAGGTTGTAAATATAATTTGTTAGTTTTTACAGTATTAAATTCTTTTGTACATAGAACTTGCTTTACATTTTTATACAAGCATATTAGTTTGCATGATCTTTCTTGTTTTATGTTAAAAAGTAGATCATTAAAGAGTTTTATGTTTTTTTAGATATTTGTTATGTATATGTTCTCTGTTTTAGTTTGCTAGCTTTTATGGTGTCATTTTCTGTAATTATGCTGCTGTGGTAATTGTATCTTCACAATGTTTATTTTATAACTTGATGCTTTGGAGATGACATGCTAGTTTTATGCACTCATTTGCCTTGCACATTTTTGTAATTATTTATTTTATGTTATTTATAATTTTTTTGGACAGTAAAGTTCTTACACAATGGTTATTATGATTACAATCTTACAGTTTGCCTTACAACATTGGCGTTCTCGAATGAAGAAGGAAAAGTCAGTTGAGGAGAAATTCAGAGAGCGACCACTAGTGCTACGCAAAAGAAGAGAAAAGTTAAAGGCAACAGCAAATTGGCCTTTGTTCTATTACAAATTCAACAGGGACCATGCTCTTCCTAATTTGATTTGGAATTATAAAGTAAGTGTTCAAATGATGGAACTGATTCAGTATTTCTACCATTAAAAGAGGGAAACATTATTATCTATGGGTTTTACTTTCTCATCAAAAGCTACAATAGTAAATCTACTATTACAGCATGTATAGTTTAATTCACTACCATAGTATTATGTAATCAAAATTTCCTATCTGTGCCAAACAGGAGCTTTAAAGGCATTTCAGTTTGAAATCTTTATTCCAGCTTCTCTCTCTTTAGCAACAT